CCCCTCGCCTTTCTGGGCTCAGTTTTTGAGGCGGGGGTCAGTGTATTTTGTGTCTCGGGGCCCCTCAGGAAAGGGCAAGAAGTAGATGGCACGAGTTCCTAGTGGAGGCTTGTTGGTAGTTTAGGCGTCGCTCCAAAGAAATTCGGTAACGCACCGCTGAGATTGGATCCCCTAATTCAGATGTTGCGGGTGCGTTGAAGCAACGTCAAGTAAAACAACATGGGCTGGCAGTGCTGTGTCCCGACAAGTGCGTGCGCTGCCAGTGCCTGGTGGCAGAGTGGCTGCGGTGCTCCATCGCAGTCAGGGTACACCAAGCCACAAGTAAGCAGATGAGACGCTGTGAATGAGTTCTTCCTGATGATACGTGTTTTTAGGAATAACTGAAAACAGTTAAGAAGCTCTTGCTGACCCCAGCAAGAAGAAAATATTATATATGTTAATTAAAATGTTTGGCTTTCTTAGAGGAACACGCTTAGGCGCTACTGCAGATACCTCAGTGAAAAAGTCTGCTCTGTCCTAGTTCTGCAGTGGTTTCTGGCTGTGCAAGTTCAACACCTGCAAAAAGCCTAGTTTTCAGGGATTTGCTTTGGTCACAGAAACCTTACAGAGCTGTAACTCATCGGGGCCTATAAATATGTGCTGTGCACAGAGTGGCTTATTAGAAAGTGTCAGTGACACTAAAATCAATGTTTCAATTCATTTCTCTGAATAAAACATGCTGCAAAAATATAACTCCAATTAGTCTTTGGCACCTTCTTGAGTATTTTCTCCATGTCCACCCATTGTTAAATGCAGGTTATAGACAGAATTAGAGCAGTTGTTAATGAGAGGGTTTTATCTCAGACAGTTTCATGGGACCATTCCTTGATTTTTATTGCATATGCTAGTTGCAGCCATTCCAGCTCTAATCACATTACTATTTTCTTCACAAGTTTCCTCTGTCTCAGTCATGGAGTGGGTTTAATCAGTATGTAGGAAATTGCCCACTTTACTTTTTTTTGGTTAATCATCTGTTTTTATTGAGCATTCTGGGAAATGCTTGCATGATGATATACCCACATGTCAGGCAAGTAGCAGTAGTGTGTCATTTGCTCTTAAGAGTGTAAGTCATGGAAACTGGACCCAGCATTTCTGTATAAAAATGTTGTAGTCATTTTTTTAACTTATTTAATCAAAGCATATTCCTCCACATCTTCTAAAGTCACCCTTGATTGTGCAGGGCTGGTAAGTTTACAACAGGAATAGTGCTGGTAAAGACGGAAAGGAAGTCAGTAATTGCTGTGATCTTTTTTCATGTTCTGGTCTGTGGCTGTGAAAATTGCTTGTGGTATTCTGTAATGCAGTAGGACAATGACATATTAAGAGCTCTATGCTATTGTGTCAGCAGAACCTGGTTGGGCTGCAGGTGACCATATAGCTGGGACCAGGCAAAAAACCAAATGTATTGTGTATGGTGTAGACACTGCTGTTTAAATAATTACATGAAAAGGAGAATTCATTATTTTTCTGAGTGATGTGAAGAACACAATTATTATTAATCAAAATTTTTGTAGTTCCAGAAGCTTCTCCTCTGTTAGACATTTAGTACCAGTTGGAGGGCTTCCCATTAAAAGTGAAGCGGTGGTTGTGACAAGGGGACGTGCTGAACAAGGGCAGAGGTGGAGAGCGGCTGGAAGGTATTACTGTCTCCCAGAGCCCTTTCTTTGATGCAGAGACAGTTGCTGATGTGATTATAGCTGACAAGTCTGTTAAAATGATGCTAAAGATTTTTGCTTAGATTATTTCTCCCTTCTAGTTTTCCAGCTTTCACAAAAATTGACAGGATCAGCCCTGGAAATGTGGAACTGACAGGGCGCGTTCTTCCAAAACCATCTTCCTACAAACAGATGAACTGGAATTAAACTGAATGTAGGGTCTCTGTAAATCCCAGATAAAAAACTATTGTTGTTATCACTTATCTTAAAATTGCTGGGGAGGTATGGTCAGATACTCTGAAAGCTGTGTAAACAACAGTTCTATTATTTAGTTTTTAAACAGTCTTCTGAGTAAACCAAGTGGTTTCAATAATTTTCATGTTATCTTATTGAAAGTAATTAATGCATTTTCGAAAATATTTTAATGCTGATCTGAGATCTTAATTTTTTTTTAATTGCCTTTGTTTCTCCCTATGTTTAAACATTAGGAGGTCAGACATGAACCATGGATAAGCAATTCAGCATCAATTAATCAGAGAATAATCACTTTTACTAGAAGATAAATTTGTAGAAGGTAATTCCAAAGCCAACAAAATCCCCAATGGAAAAATAAATTATTTTACATTAAATATAAAGCAGACAAATGACTGAATATGTCCCCAGTCTATGTGAGTAGATCAGGAATATATCTGAAGTTCTGAAATCAGGGAATACATGTAGTAATCGGGCAATTATCTTTTCCATGACCAAGCACACATAAATCACAGCAAAAGACATTCAAAGACCATTGTGCTCTAGGATCCAGTTTCTGATTTGGTATATGTAATAAACAATTAGGAAAAAAAAAAAATCACGGTCTGTTGCTAAAGATTAATTTCTCTAGTTTTCCTTGTCTTCTGCTCCTCATAATTGTACTATCTTTTTCAGCTAGGAGCTGTATAGTAAAGTTAGATGTGAGCTCTTCAAAGGTGAATCCAGAATATTCAAGACATAGTTGCATGAGCAGACTGCTGCAGCAATATTTGTTCTTAAAACATTTCATATTTATATTGGTTTAAATGATGTTGGTTAGGGGTTTCTTTGAGGCCCATGGTGAAAACATGGAAACTAAATGAAAAACCATTAGAATTAAATAGTATAAAAAGAGGGGGAAAAATACCTTGGAGAAAGTGTCATGTTGCGTTGCATCCAGTGAGAGGATTATAGTGAATGAGCCCATACACACAGGGAAGCCTTACTTTAAGCTGATTTTCAGATCTTTTATTTTTCACCTTTATACAGCTCCTAGAGCTCAGAAAAGATTAGGAAAGCAAAATTGCTGAAGCAGCTGTACAGCCTCCTTTGTCATTGGTGTCGATGCTCAATTTCAGATTACTTTGTCTTGCTATTGTCATCTTATTTTAAAGACTGTCGAGGTATTGTTAGATTCATGTTTTATACATGGTATCTAACATCTTAGCAGTGAAAATGTCTTAGGTTTGAATTAGCTTTAGAGTTCACTAATCGACCTACATGTTTGCTAACACCTGACATTGTATACATTGTGTGTATTCTCATGCATCTTTTATGACAATTCACCAATAACTATTAATGATGTCACTCTGTTCCAGATGAATAACAGTAAGTTTTGTAGATAAAATCATATAATAAGCTTTAATAATACAATTGATATTTACTTTAAAGTTTGACTCTAGGTTGTTGGCCTTTTCATCTTGCAGGATTCTTTTTGATCCCAAGTAGGTTCTTTGTTATGGTGCTTTATAAGTTTACTGCTGATAGAAATGGTCAACTTGATAATTGTAGCAATTCTAACATGGTGCTGGTTTGAACTGAATGTTTCATTAATTTGTTAAAAGCCACATATTTTTTTTTAAACAAACTTTGTTCAAGCAGTGCAGTTTCTCAGGGTGGCTGAGACTTTGGGTAGCTGTGACAGAACCTTCTTAGTTCAGCTTCCAGGCATAATCCCTTAAACCTGTTTGGAAAGCATCACCTGTGATGTGGGAGGATAAATTCAGTTTCTGTATTTGATCTTCTGTTGAGATTGCAGATAGGATGCTGGTTGGTGCCATCTGTGTTTATAGATTTTTGCAATAGTATTCACTGGGAGATTATCTGAAAGCTGTATCAGTTTACATAGGTCAGTGAATTGCAGCTTGCAAGGTTTGTGTCTGGGATCACTGTAAACAAGTTTTCTGAGTTTTAATTCAACTTTCATTTGTCAAAACCTGACCTAATCACTAAAGAGTATGGTGGTGCTAATGCACTGATTTTATATACTGGCAAATGCATTTGAGAGCAGCTTTATTTTAATGGTTACGTACTCTTGTTTTGTTTCTTAGTGTGTGTGAATTGCTTTGATATGTCCCATGCAAACGGTAATTTCGTGGAGGGAAAGCTTTAACAAAAAAATATTTTCATATATAGAGGTGGTGTTCGTTTTTTTTTTTTTCCTGAAATGTTAAATAAGTGATATACATGCAGTGCTTTAAATATTGTTGCTGTTCCTGCAGTAATGTACCTATAAAAGATAATTCTCTTAAGAAATTCTGTACAAATCCTGATTTACTAAATTCCAGACATCTGACAACTGTACTCTTAGCTGCAGGACCTTATCTTTTATAGGTACTTTTGCGTGCAAAGAATGGCAGCGTCTTTGTGCACAACTATATAGTACTGATGAATAGTATGCATTGAATTGTTCTTGTAATATAAACAGTGGAGAGTATCTCATGCAAATACCTCTCTCAGCCATCTATGGAACTCAGTTATTTTGCAGAATAAGGCAGTGTATACAATTGTAACTATTTCAGAACAGACACCTGATAAAACCTGAGCATCATTCTGCACAGGCAAGTGTGAATAATTTAAAGTTTACGAGAAGATTTCAAATGCAAGTTCTAGTCTAAATATGATAATGTATTCTTTTATAGCTTTTACCTGTTGAGATGAGTTGCACATGTTAATTTTAAATTAAATATTTTTTTTTTTAAATCTGTGTTTGTGGATTTCTTTCTGTGCTTTTAGAAAATAGTTTTAACTTACGAGTTCAACATTAAGTAGTGGTCCAGGCTTGGCATGATAATGAAATTATAGTTTTATGCTCAACAGGAAGTTCCATGCAATGTTATGTCTCTCTCTGCTTTGGTTTTTCTCAGGACAGTGTTTCTGTGGTATGGTTTACCTTTCAAGAGTTAACAAAGATCTCATTTTTCTCTGTTTTAGGTTTTCTTTAAGCTACTAATAGACATGGTACATGACAGCTGGCGTGCAAGATTTTCCACACACTGCCCAGCTGATTGCTCTGCTGAAATGCTAGATAATTTAGCAGAGGTATCCAGTTTGCAGAAATGTGCATGAGGTTTGTGTTGCGCATACATGTTTATTCAGTCATTAGTCATGATCATGACTGCATAAAATCAGTATAATTACCTTCAGCCATTCTTCATATCTAAGTGACCCAGACTGCATTCCATGACAGGCCTGACAGCTTGAATTAGGGTTTGCCTTTCATCGCAGCCAAATTTGGAGTACAGAAATATCCAGCTTTTCTTGAGCTTGCTCAGTGCAAGAATGGGACATGTTAATGTGAAAGAGTGGAAGTCCAGTCTAAAACGGAGCCTTAGGAATGTTCCAATTCACTGGCCCATATCAGCAGAGTTTGCCTAGTTTTTCTGTTGCATGTTGCATGCATTGCACAGTAAATATGCAATCTGTTGCTTTTAGTGTGCATTAGGAGTGTCACACATGCATGTATGAACTATACTCTGCATAGCATGCATCTGCTTCCAACCCACGTTTAAAAAATGTCAGGGGAAGGTCAGAGAATAGAATTCTGTGCTTCAGCACAATTTCTTCAGGTCTTGGTCGATAATCTTACTTTCATTCCAGAGGCTTCTTGGAGTTGGGGAGAGAGAAGGTCTCAATAAATAGTTTATGTGTGAGCAGATTGATTATAACCTCATTTTTTTCCAAGGCAGCCCTGTAACACCCATCCCCCCTCCTTTTCTTTTTTTTTTTTTTATTTGTTAAATCACTGAAAAGAAGAGCTTCTGCCTCAGGTCCCAAGGACGAGCTCTTAAAAAGACAGGACTGGAAGAGGCCTTATGAAGTCATTTAAGTCCATTCATCTGCTTCAGGTTGGGATCATCCATATCTGTCATCTGTGACTTGTTCTAAGGAACTCAACAGTCATGCCATGAGAAAATTTTCTTTTCATGTTATCAAATTCATACCTTTCTTGTTGCAGTTTAACACCATAACTGCTCATCCTGTATCTGTCTTGGACAAAGCAAGTAATTGTTTTGCTTCTTACAATATGTTTTACTGTGTTTCTTCTTAACTATAATAGCCTGCTATTTCTTTAAGCTCAATTCTTTCACCTCACAGGTGCTGTTTTCTGTACACCAGTTATTTTTGTTACTTTTCTTTAGGTTATATTCCATTACTTCACGTCTATTTTGTTCTGTCCAAGTTAAGACTGTATTTCACTTGAGATTTTAATGACGTTGAATTAAATGGAATGGGATCCTCTTTATATTTACTGACATGATGCATGTCTCTTTTGCAGCACTCTGACTCTCTCATGGTCAGGCAGGGATCCACCAGATCCTCATCCAAGGACACATGTTCTAAGACACTGTTCTCACTGATCATTTTATAACTGGTTATTTCTGCCTGACTGTAGCATCCTGCACATGTTCTCATTGAAGATGACATTGCTTTTTCAGGTCATTCCTCCAGTTTGTAATTTTGAATTTTCATCTTTTCCTCCAATAAACATGCTACCTTTTCTAGATTAAGATTGTCTGGTAATAGAATAGTTTACTTCATCACATCACACAGATCCTGAAAGTACTGTGAAACAAATATTCTTTGGAAATCTTACCAAAAAATGGACTAATTTTTTGTCTAAGTCTCTTTTTTTCTGCTTGTAATGATCCTTTTTAGGGAAGGAGAGGGAAAATTTTAGGACATTTTCCTTGTACTGCAAGTGATTTAAATTAGCCATGTGTATTGAAGAATCTGTGGAAAGAAAAATTCACCGTAATCTTGGTAGTCTTGCGGACTGGGGAAGGCAACTCATGATGCTAATGCTCAGAGGGAAACCTCCTTCCTTCACAAGTCTTTCCATTTGTTTACAGGTGATGGAGGTAAATATTTTCACAAGAAACTGCTGGCCTCCATCTTTGTCTATTTTTGTAATGTTAATACTAGTTCATTGTGTAATCAAAGCCTGGTTAAAAAAGCAGTTTCAGGGGCAGTAGCTGTAGTTAAAAAAGTAGAAGTTGTGTGTGAAAGAGGAAAACAGAAAGGTCAAGCTAGCAGAATTAAATGTCCTTAAGAAAGCAGGTTAGAAAAGATCTTGAGAAATAAGTTGAGGAGCAGGACTGCTACAGAGAGTCTATAGAGCCAACAGAAATAAAATTGGGAAATTTTAAACAGAAGTAAATTGGGAAATAAAAAAAAAAACCCAACAAACAAAAAACCAAACGTTTGGGGAAGGTAAGGCCATAGTAGAAAGTCCAAGTGCATATTTTGCTTTTTCTGTTTACTGCAAGGACAATCAGAGATGCATAACACTTTCCAAACAAAGAACAGTTAAATTGGTGAGAAGAGACACCTGGGATGTGATGATAGCTTCACAAAAAAAATGAACAGCATGGGGAGGTTGAAAAGGATAGGTTGTTTGTTGTCTCTACCAGTATAAGAACTAATGAGCATGAAAATGAAACTAGCAGGTGTTGGGTTTGGAGTAGCAAAAAGAGGAATTTTGTTTCATGCACATATCATTAAGTTGTGTAACTCCACAGGATGTGGTAGATACTGAAAATTTATACTGATTCAAAGGGAGACTGGACAAAATGAATGAAAGAAAAAGTCTGTAGGGGATTATTAAATATATACGCATGACCTCTGGCTTTGAAAGTCCCTGAGCTGCAAATTATTGGAGACTGGAGAGTATTTGGGGAAAGTATGACTAAATGAGTACACTATTCTTATCCTCTTCCCCAGACATCTGCTTTTGGCTGCCCTTGGAGATGGGGTACTGAGTGTAAGATTTGACCTGGCATAATTTTAGATTTGTTTTTTTTTCAAATTGTAGAAACTCAAGACACATTTTTCTGTAAGTTAGCAGCTCAGGGTAGCATCTGCAAATCTTGTACTTTGTAGACGGAAAGCCTCCTATTCATTTCCCTTATAATTTAAGACAGAAGTACATTTTTAACAAAACACAAAAATTACCATGAACATTTGTCTGTCTCTTGCCAGTTGGCATCAACTACAAATTATGTTTCATTTCAGTCATGCTAAACTGCCAGATGAGATAATACATATTGTCTTATTTAGGCAGTCTAAGCAGATATGTCTGTAATCCCAACTTGATTTTTTCAGATTTATTTTCTCCTATGTGTGTGTGAAATTGTATTTAATATGGAAGTGTTTCATTTCTCTGCTCTTCTCCCTTCTACTATAGATATATTTTAACTGCTGATACAAACACATAATATGTGGGATTTCCTGCAGAGTTAGAGAAAAGACTGAAAGCTCTTGGATCTCTGATGGGGACAGAGTGGTATAGAGGGAGGAGGATATTGTGTTGCTCGTTATTCCACAGACACTGATTTACTCGGTTGATTTAGAGTGTTGATTCAATGGTACATCTTTAGGGCACTTGCCAGCAGTTCAAACACCCATAACCACTCGATGCAAACACCTCATGTAAACATACCTTAACAACCCCAATTTTATGTTAACCTCATACTGGTAAGGTTTCTGCTCTGTCAGGTATTGTTCATTTCTCTACGACTCTGACAATGACAGGTGAGGTATGTATTGTTTGTCCTCCTTCAGCTGGTGTGGAGTTGGCATGAATGCAGCATACTGCAGTCTGGCAAACTTGACAGAAATGTTATTGTGTCCGCACCTGCTCAGGGGTAGATTTGTATTGTGTGGTGATCATAACAGATGGTAATGTACCAGATGGTAATCTGTCGTTAATGAAGACACAGCCATGTGTTGCATGTGCATTCTTTACTTTTCTCTCATGTGTTAATATACTTAACATGCTTTCACTGCGTTTTCTAAAGTGGCTATGGGAGTTAAATTAACAGTGCCTTTCACCCCAGACTGCAAGCTTCTTTGTGTCTTACCACCTGAATGTTTCCTCTGTTCTTGTAAGACCAAATAAACAATTTTATCATCCTTTTTAATGTGGTCTGGGGCACAAGGGAAAGTAACTTTGCCTGGAGGTGGAAAGCCTATGCAGTGATTATACTGCCACAGAGGGGGTTTTTTTGTAGCAGGTATTAGACTGTTCCATGTTACCAGTGGCTGAGTTTTCAAATTATCCTGTATTGCTGCATCAGAGGCTGAGTTAGAGGCACAAGGAGCATGCAGGTATTACGAAGTTCCTACCTGAGCCTTTGTAGTCTGTTTCCATGTCTGTTGCTGAAGTAGATTGATAATACTGAAACTCCATACAATTTACTTCAGATGCCGAAGTGGCTTTATTGAAGTATGTGGTTTCGGAGGTGAGGAAGGAAGGGCAACATTTAAGTTTGTGTAGGTGGAGGCTATTGAAGTTTGTTGTAAATAACTGAGTGCTATTTTGTTATTGTTGGGATGTTTGTGTACAGTAGCTACTTTGATCTCTGTACACTGAGTGAAGTTAATGTTAACTACAGCAGAATTCATTTGTGACTACCTTAAGAATAAACTGTAGGAAAACCCAGAAGTATTCTCATGTTCAAATATCATCTGGTACATGTAAATATTTGAACTGATGATGTATTTTCATGTAGCAAATACAGTTCTCTTCTCTGAAGGTTTATTAAAGTTGTGCCAAAAGCAATTAGTCATAGTCAACAACATCACAGCTGAGTATTTTTGGAATTGATAAAGGAAGGTAAGTTTTCTCTTCAGACAGGAAAGTGGTCTAGCTCTTCTGTTTGGCTAAAACACCTCCCCTGTATGGACAGGGGAACATTTGGCCATGTTGTTAACTGATTATTCTGAGAAGTATGTAAGGTAACATGAAGTTACTGTTTAGATACTGTAAGAGTCTGCTTTTCAGCTGAAGAATAATGCAGAGTTCTTTGCCAGAGAATCAGGGACTACATCCGAGGGGCTCATGCTTTAGATAAAATCTGTGAAAACAGTCCAAAGAAAATTTTTTAATGGTTTATCTCCATTTAATGTGTTGCTACTGAGTTATACTGCAAGAGAAAGAAAATAAAAATGGCCTTGTATCTAGCCATCAATCAGCTGATCAACTGAACCTTAACCTCAGACATAGTACCTATGGTAGTGGTTCTTACTCGAATGGTTTTTATGTAACCAGACCATGCTGTTTAGGAG